GCATGAAACACTGTCACCTCTAAGTGTTGACTTCTGTTCACTTTTTATATTTACACACGCCGATCTCTCATATTGAGCACTTTATCCCATAAATATAGCACATCTTAAGACTATATTTCTTCATTCATTCATATATATATATATAAAAGAAATATAGTCATAAGATGTGCTATATTTATGGGAGATATATATATATATATAAAGAAATATAGTCATAAGATGTGCTATATTTATGGATATATATATATATATATATATATATATATATATATATATATATATATATATATATATAAATAAAATATAGTCATAAGATGTGCTATATTTATGGGATATATATATATATATATATATATATATATATATAAGAAATATAGTCATAAGATGTGCTATATTTATGGGAGATATATATATGTATATGAAGAAATATAATCATAAGATGTGCTATATTTATGGGATAAAGTGCTCAATATCAGAGATAGAGCTTATATAAATATAAAAGTGAACATAGAAGTCAACACTTAGAGGTGACAGTCTGTTTCATGCTATATGCAATCATCAGGCCACAAGTGCTGTTATTTTTCTCTGTATATATATATATATATATATATATATATATATATATATATATATATATGTGGGTCAGTGGTACATTGTGGGCATATTTTGACGGTTATTTTACCAGAAGTCATTTATTTGTTTATTTATCTATTTGGGTTAAATTATTTTGCTTGTTTTTATTTATTTTTATTTTAAAAGTAGGGTGGAAAAGTACCAATTAATGTGTTTTTTTATGGTTCTCACTATGTGAGCATTACTTATGAGTTAACTTTGAAACATTACCTTTTTGTATAATAATTATATTGATTAATATTTTGGCCAAGTTGCTGCAATGGAATTTCCAACATCTGTAAAATCTATCATCTTTCTCTCTCTTTCTTGTCTGCATGTTTTTTTTGTTTTTTTTTATTTTTTAATGCAATACTTATTTAGCTCTTTTTTTCCTTTGCTATTTCCTTCTTCTCCACTTTTCAGTTGCTTTTGTCTTTTGAATTTTGTGCCTTCCTTTCTCTCCTTTTTACTTGCTTTTTTTTATGAAAATATTTCCAAACATGTGTTAATGTTGAATTATCAATGTTTTTAATTTCTTTTTTTTTTTTATTTTTGTTATGTGACTTGTTTTGCTTTGTTGTTGTTGATTTTTTTGTCTATTTTAATTATGTGTCACAAATGTGTGTGCGTCCGCGTATAATATATAAGTAATGTAACTACTCAAGATAGCTTTTAATACAAACATTAATCTCTCTGCAAAGTTTAGTCATAGACACACTGCCTGATAAGTCTTATTTGATGTCAGTAATAGTTGTATATAGAGTCAAATAAATTAGTGGTGTTCTTACCATAATACCATGGTTTAAAGGCCACTGCTACCAAGCAGACAGGGAAATCATCTCATCCTTATCCCTATGGCCATCTTTCTGGAAGTATCTTCTCACAAAAATTGACTTCCCCAGACACCGTAGCTTGGGACTCAGGGTTGAACATTGGGGATCTGGGGACAGAAATACAGGACCAAATAGTGTAGAGTTCTGGTCAACCATAGGGAGGTTGAATGTTGATGATGATGCATGCCTCCTTTCCCTATCTAATACTTTGATTGTACACTTGTAAATAAGTAATTATATTTACAAATTTATTTGAATATCACTTTTATGGAAAAAAAACTCTGAACAGTTCAGAATTCTGTTTGTTTTCTAACCTTGATTTAAAGCTATTAGTAATTTAAGTGAAAAGGACCAGTTTGCAAGACAAGATATTGGCATTTATTTTGTAACATGTGAGCATCCAAGATCATGCCAGGACAAAACCAATTTGTTTTCTTTTGCCATTCATGTCAGAAGTGAAAACCAACTCTACAGTAACTTTTTATAAAAAGAAAAAAATATCAGTTGTTTTTCTATTCCTAAAAAAACAAAACCAAAACTTGTCGCAGACCAACCTTTCTACTAGTGTGCATTGATACCCCTATCAGCAGCAGCAACTCCATTTCAACTTTTGGGTATGAGTTAAATAGGAATGATTGGGAGCATTGACTATTGTGAATCCCAAAAAAACTCACTCCCTTTCACTTTGGGCCAAGGTTGAGATAGGATGCTAAAATTAACACTTGATGTAATAGGCTCACATGGCTTAAACAATACACATCACTCAGTCTTTAACCCACCAACAAAGTAACTTCAACTTTTTCTTCCTTCTTTAAAGAGACCCTTAAGAACATTCTTTGAATTTAAACTTTTTTTCAAGGAATGTCCCTGAAAGAAAGTGCAAATTCAAGGAAAGCCTCTTGGAATTCACATCATGCATGCTCCAAGTTTCTTCCATTTTTATACATGCCCTCCTCCCCACCCAAAAGCTGAAAAGGAGTTGCTGTTGCTGATAGGATTATCAATTGCATGCATGTCTAGCAAAAAGATTTAACATTTACTACAATCTAAAAATATAGAAAAACATATTTCATGCTTGCTTGCTTTAATTGAATTTAAGATAAAAACAAAAAAAAAAAAATTAATTTTTAAAAGCTGTCATTGTTGATATATTAAGTTATAGAAATTATATCTATATAGAAATCTATTTGGCCTTCAACTGAAGGTCTATAAGTGAAATAATAACTTATTTAAACAAGTAATGCTTATGAATGTGTCTGAGGCTTGTTGAGAAAGTCATCAGATTTTGTTTATTGGGAATTTTTCTCAGACTCACCTGAAATGTAATTTCTAGATTTTATTAATTTTTGTTTACTAACCACCATGCTCTCTGGATACTATTGAATCACAGGATGGTTGAATGACCTTCAATTGACATACTGCAAAGTATTCAATATGATTTTCTATTAAGCTCTCTTCACTTAGTGAGAAGACAATCAGTTCCACAAGGGAACAATGTTAAAAAATAATTTTAAAATTTTTAATAAATTAATAACCATTTACTCATTTCAAATAATTTCGCTTTTGTTTCTAGATCTGTATTCACTGAACAGTAATTGTGAGAATATTTGAATTCAACAATAAAACTTAACTGTTTTTAAGTTTTTGTAATGCCTCACTTGATACATTTCAAAATTCTGGCCAGTGTTTGAATATGAAGTTTCTTTAAAGTCTAATCCAACACAATAAATCACAACATATCAATATTGAGAGATCTATTACTTCAGTCTTATAACTATTAATAAATTCTCCCAGTTCACTCTTCTGCTTTAAAATATGAGAGATGCTCTGAAAGTAACACTTCCTATATATTTCCATGGAAAATACAACACATACAGCGAGTTCAATAACACAATTAGATAGAGCAAATTTTCAGCTACAAAACTGTTATTTTTTCCTATTCTATTAGTTATGTATTTTCAGCAGTGGTGAATAAGAACCTGCATTTCATGGGTTGGGGGGGTGATAATAATACAGATCCACTTAAGACATAGCTTGTTGTACATGTCACTTGTCAGTACTGAAACACTGTCCTAACTCTGCTTGCATCCATTGTTTGGTCTCTGTAAACATTCAGCAAGTATTGATGAATATCACTGGCTGCAAGTTATTCCACATAGAGGAATTCAGTGATATACTTTTACTTCATACACACTTTCATGTCAGAAGTCATTTTTCCAAATTGCTTTTCACATGCTACTTGTAACAACTCCGGGTTATTGGCAGAAAGGTTGAATTTGTGATGTCATGGGCCAGCATAATAAAATAGGAGGTATTATTTTCAGAGCAACACTCATATTTAGAAACCTTCCATTTCTCAAATGTCTGTGACTGAAAATAGATCATTAGAAGATATTGTTATACTACATTCAACATACATCTGTGGTTTCCAACCTACCTTTTTTTTTTTTTTTAAATTAATATCCTTTGATATCAAAAACCAGTTTTTTACAGTTCACTTTTAAGGCTAAAGTGTCCAATTAGCTTTTAAATTGTTAAAATCAATGTTTCCTAGTGAAAATAAAGTATTCAAGTTCATCTTCAGCTTAAGAAGATTTATTCACAGAAGTTTGTTTTATAGATGTACTTATACAAGTCATAATAGTAAGGTTCTAAAATTAAAGTTTGCTTGTTAACTTTAATTATATTTTAGCATCTTGATTATGTCATTAATTTCTCTTCGAGTTACATGTGTTATTCATTTTAGTTGTTGCTACTTTTGGTAGTCCTCAAGTGATTTGGTTTCTGTAATTTGATACAGTTCTTTGTGATACTGTATTATCAGTCCACAATGTTCAAAGATGATGTTTGCCAAGACCCTCAGGCTTCACTTGCTCAAAGCCTTTTTTCACCATTGATCTTTGAAAGTGGTTGTATACAGCTGATTTTTGAACATATTGTTTGGTACCATATATGACATCCATATGAAAGTCTTCATCTGATGAGGCTATTTAAGAACATGACTTGAATTTTCAGGTTTTGTAGCAATTTGCAGTGTTGGTTGAAACTACATCTGGCACAGACTATTCTATGTTCAGTTTCCTTTCTTTCTATATTAAATTTGTTACAATTGAGTGATACACTGAGGTATTTGTCATGTGGTGTAGAAGTAGACTTTTGTATGGAATTTTTTTAGTGTGGGTATAACAAAAATACAATTTTGCTATAGTAATTACTAGATATAGCTATAGGACTTTTTTTCTTTTTTCAGAAAAGCAGGTGTTTTGATGAAGACTAATAATTTACTAAAAGTAAATATTCAACTAAATAAATCTGTAAATTCTCTTTTGATTTTCATAAGCTTAGCATAAAATTATCTTGAGGAAAATTAAGGTTGTTAACCACAAGTATGCATATGAATGTGTTTTTTTACAAATATGAAAATTTACTGTTGTAAATTGTGTGTATTTGCATATATACAAATTCTTCTATACTATATTACTGAAAATATAGCTATGTTTTTCACATTAATTTAATATAAAATAATCACTAATTTTATCTGTTTCTATCCACTAGGCAAATTAGCAAAGATGTCTGCCAGCAAGTCTGACTCCAATTCTGACAGTGGTGTGTCTGGTATGCAAGAGGGAAAGCGCATCAAGCCAAGAGCCCAGAAATCCCACACAGTCCCTCTCCTCAACCTAAACCCTAAGTGCCTTGAAACTGAAAACAAAGATAAAAATGTTGGTCAGGTCAATAAAGCCTTTTGCTTTGACAAAGAAGTTTCAGAATCTATAGAGAACTCCAAAGAGCCTCCAGTAGCAAATGCTGCAGATAGTTCTAAAAATTCAGAACCTGCTATAAGCAATGTTGAAGTCGATTCTGACTGCTCTGACACCAGTGAATGCGTTCCCAATGGTTTTGATAATCGGGTCGATGTTGGTCCATCTGATGATGTATCAGAAGGGATGTACTTAGATTCCAATTTAAAGAACGCCGGGAAAGCTTCATCTGTAAGTGGTGCCAAGGCAATGTCTTCTGCAGAAAGTCCATCTGAAAGTGTCACTGATAGTCTAGATTTCAGTTCTTTGTCAACAGTAACTAGTGACAAGAACTCCAAAGATGATCAGGTGACAATCTTGGAGCTCTTGAAAGAAGAATATGCTAAAGTGAAGTTACAAGATGCTGCTGAAGAAAATGGCCAAGTGTTACTGAACTGTAATTGGACTTCTAACAGCCCTCTGCATGGACAGAGAGCATCAAGTGATCCAGACCTACATCACAGTGTGATGACTAGTGCTAGAAATAGTGACCGATCAGCAGCAGAAGATGCAAATGAAGGCACAAGCAGTGACGGGGCATCTAATAATCTTCAGATACAGTCAGCTTCCCAAGGAAGTTCCGTCATATCATCCTCATCTTCCTATCCGGAATTATCGCGAATTACAGACTATAACTGTGATATGCCTAAACTTGTAGCACCTGTTGCTAACAAGACTGTCAAGTAAGTAAAGAAAAAGAAATAGACCTTTTAATTTTTTTATAGTTTCCAACATCTTTGTCAATTCCTCCTTGCTAAATATTTTTATCTGTATGTCAAATAATTCGTTTTGTAGAACACAAAGTGAAATTAAATATTCTGTTCATATTTGTAAGTATTAAAATAGATTAAATTATTTGAGTTCTCCAGCTTTGGCTTACACCTAGTCTAGGAGAAGGACCACTCTGAATTCCAAAAATGTAAAGCAGGTAATAGGAAATCACTCCATTATCTCCTCCAAGATGTCATGTCACTTTACAGATAATGAAGAAAAATGGAATTTGTGGAGAGCCATGATTATTCTAAAGAGACATAACATTAAAAATAGGGAGAAAAAAGGTGGGGAGGGTCAGTAACTCTATTTTTATCTATAATCTTTCAAATCATGTTAAGACTGATGGAAGTTAATTTTTAACAATTTTTTCACTTAAAATAGAAATATAATGTTCCTCATGTAGTGACATAGACAAAATGGACTTGCCCTATTTTGCATAGTTGAACAATTACTACTAAGTCAGCCGGTATAAGGGTAGAACTTTTGCATCATAGACTAGAAGATATCACAACAATATGGGATCTCTAATGCTGTTGGGTAAGCTGGACTTTGGGTAAATATGTATTCATTGTTTTGTTGCCCATGTACGAGCCAAGAAGTTAAAAGACCACAAAGTTGCAGGAGGAGAGAACAAGATTGCAGATCTCGTTTTGGCTTCAGCAGGATGTGAAGCCATCAGAATGATCTCTGACATTGTGTGTCCCAGAAAATCAATTTCCCAAATTTCAAATATTATACAGAGAAATTTGTGTCCAAAAATGAAGTTGGTTATTGCTGAGAGAAGTTTCTTACAAGCAAGCAAGAGCTGAATGAAACAGTAATACAGTATGTACACGAGCTACAAGAGGCTTTCAGATGCTGTGAGTTTGAAAAACTTGGCATTGAAGAAATGACCATCAAAGTTGAGTTGATACAGTTGAGATATGTGTGATATTTTGTAGAAACACAAAATTCTAGAATGATTAGAACTGACTAAAATGTCCTTGGCTGCATATATAGTTTCTGTATTAATTCTAGTTAATTGAAAAATTCAATACATCCAAGAGTAATACAAAGCATACAGCATATTGAATTACTTTGTGTGATGCAAATACTGTAATAAAAAGCATGAATGTGACAAGAAAAAGATGTCCAGCTTTAGGATAATTAGGCTGGAATTGTGAAAAGAAAAACATTTCCATTCTGTGTATAAGCATAAGAGTAAAATAGAAAGGTTAGAAAGTTTATCCTCCCCCCACAAAAAAACATAAAAACAATACAGTTGTATTTGTGATGCAAAGACAGAGAGAAAAAAATTAAATTAAATGGTATAACTTTTTCTATGCAAGTAGATACTGGGAGTGATGTCACTCTAATCCCAATAAAGTTTTGGGAACAAATGGACAAACTCAAATTAAAGGAAAGTTATATGAAACTAAGACAATTTGATGATAATGTGAAGTTGTTTTTGAAGGAATTTTTGAGATTGACATACTTTGAAATTATTCCCATCACAGCAGTGAAATGTGAAAAAAAGAATAGATGTCTTGAAAGTTACCTATCATGACTATTACTGAGTTCTAGAACTATTCCAAATGGTGGTAGAATACAAAATCTTTCTGCATTGATGGGAAAACAAATTAGATTGCCTATAACAATGTCCTATTCAATAAATGAGAAAATGTGGTACAGAAAAGACAGAAACTGAAAAAGCTTTTATTGCACAAAAGGGACATAATATGGCTGTAATCACACCAAGTGGACAGAATTTATTGGCTCATTCTGATCAAATAAGACATAGAACTGATGATGAAGAAGTCAAGATGGAAGAGAGGGGAAAGCATGAATGCTTCTGTTGGAAAAAGTGAACTTAGTAGAAAAGAAACTATGGTGGATAGTTTGCATGAATCTGATCTGGAGTTGGAAGATCAGAATAAAGATGTCCAGACCTAAAAAGAAACAGATACACACATAGAGAGAAAAAGAGAGAGAGAAAAAAAAAGAAAGATCTCCTACTATTGTTCGGAGAAGTCACAGATCGACGAAAGGTATAAAGCCTCTTCATAGGGATATAGGCAAAATGATCTTGCCATATTTTGCATAATCAAGCAACTACTAATTTAGCTGTCACATGGTACAAGGGTAGAACTACGTCACAGACTAAAACACATCACAACACCTAATTTGGCTGGAAAAATTATTTATAGGTAAAATCGGCAACTAGTATTGCCAGAATCAATTTCACATTATTCCTAATTGTTTAAAAATTCTGAAATCATTGACCATCCTGAAATTCCATGTTTTTCTCTGACAATAGCTATGCTGCGTAGCTAGTGTAGTAATGAAAACATTAAATGGAGACAAAAGTGTGAACCCCAAAAGATTATCATTGAAGGAATAAATGTCCCCTAATTAAATTGAAGTTAAGCAAATATCTAGAAGTTTGAATGAAGCTAGCCAGTTCAAGAGGTTAATGAGTAAAAAGACTTAGTGAATAGGATCTTTAAATTATTAATTGAAAGTTGTTTTTATGGTCACATTTTATACAAAATGTCATTACTTTTGACTTTGATATTTTACTATTTTTTTTTATTTGAGAGAATTGATTCTGAATTTGTATTAGATTTTATCTATGTGAAATTAATGTTGCTGCTTTTTTTTTCTTTTCAGTTTTGTATCGCTGAAAGAAAATTTTAAAAAGCAACTGAAATATCAGGGACATTTGTACAGGTGAGTACATTGATTTTCTTTTCTATTTATAAATTGTTAGATTTCTCTTTTGGTACTTTCCAAGCTAAAATAAGGATTTGTGTTGGGATATTTTTCTTCTTAAATAGTTGTTAATTTTTGCTTTAAACATTATATTTAGTACATACATATGTTTGAGTTGGCATCCCTGTTTTTTAAATAGTGTAAACCTGTCTACCAGCCTGTACATTAAAGAAAATGTTATAGTTGTTATATAAATTTTGTTGTAGGGCTGTTTTTTACAGAATTCAGTGAATCCCTATAAAAAAAAAGAAAAACAATTAACAGCATATTTTTCATAACAGCTTTAATCTTAAAGACCATTTTGAATTTAACTTAAACTTCTATGATACTTTTTATTTATATCAGGTCATCCCATAAATTCTGTCCGAATTTTAACTTTTTGTTAAAATGAATAAAGTTTAAAGAGTATTTTATAATGTCTAATGGAGCTGAACATTATTTTTATGTTTAGATGTATTTAAATTGATCAAATTTTATTTCAGAGAACAATAAAATTAAATTTTGTTTGATTAAAACCCTGCTAACATGGAAGTACCCAAGAATCATTTGAGGCACATGATGCTATATGAGTTCAAGAAAGGAAACTCAGCAGCCGAAGCGGCTAGAAACATTCACTCAGTTTATGGAGAGGAATGTGTGAATGAAAAAACTTGCAGAAGATGGTTTGCAAAATTCAGAGGTGGAGATTTCACCCTTGAAGATGAAGATCGAACCAGACGTCCAGTTGAGTTTGATGAAAAGCTTCTTGAAGCAGCCCTTGAAGAAAATCCTGCTTTATCAGTTAAGGAATTGGCAGTGGTTCTCAGTTCAAACCATACAACTGTTCATCATCATCAACAACTTGGAAAAATTCCTAAACTTGGAAAATGGGTGCTTCATGAATTGTCTGAAAACAACCTCAAATCCCGAGTTGACATCTGCTCTTCTCTCCATTCTTGCCAACTTGTTTCACCTTTTTGGGATAGACTTATGACTGGTGATGAAAAATGGATCTTTTATCGAAATGTTAAGTGTCTTAGACAGTGGCTTGGTAAAGGGGAAGGACCCCAGCCACAGCCGAGAAGGGAACTCCATGGGCAAAAGGTTCTTCTTTCAATCTGGTGGGATTGCCAAGGAATAATCCACTTTGAATTCTTACCACCTAATGCAACGATTAATGCTCAAATATACTGTCAGCAATTAGAGCGTTTGAATCAAGCTTTGAGGAAAAAAGACCTGCTCTAGTGAATCAAAAAGAGGTGATGTTTCAAGACAATGCGCGACCACACACAGCAAGAATCACGTCACAAAAGATCGAAGAACTTGGTTGGGAGAAAATTCCTCATCCACCTTATTCTCCCGATCTTGCTCCTTCAGACTACCATTTGTTTTGTAGCTTACAGAATCATTTGGAAGAAACAGCTTTTGTAACACAGGAAGAGGTTAAAACTGACATTTGTGAGTTCTTCGAATCAAAGCCAAAAGAATTTTACAGTAATGGAATTAGTAAGCTTGTTAATAGATGAAAGGAAGTCATAGATAATCAGGGAAAATATATTGTTGATTGAATCTGTAATTAAATGTAACATTTGGCCACTTGTTTTCTTTATTCAAAATTCGGACAGAACTTATGGGATGACCTGATATATGGAAAATATTCATAGTTTTTAAAGGGAGATAACCAATTTCAGTAGATTAAGTTTAGTAATCAGATACAGTTTTCTTAAAGTGACTTTGTTAATTAGTTGTTACCGATTTTATTCATAAAAATTTGGCTTTTATGCATCTTTTTCTTTTAGGAGTAAAAAAAATCTTCATAACATTCTTTGAAAAATTGCATATTTTTTAAAATTTGTACACTAGGAAGGTTTCAAGTACATTTTTTTTTTTTTTTTTTTTTTTTTTTTAAACCCTGTGAATAATTTTCTACAATTTAAAAAGGACAAGCAAATACATTTTGTGTGTTTTACTTATAAAATGTTTAAATTTAGGGATTCATATCTTCAGCTATGTTTTATGACATTTTTAATTTTATTTTCCAGTGAATTTTCGTCAGTAGCCTCTAGCATTCCATATTTCTTGACCCCACAGTATTATGACTCAAATATTTCCACTGATCATCTCCATCTTATCGTCTGTGTACATGGCTTGGATGGTAAATAATTTTGAATATTTCTCTTTATTGTGAATAAAATATTTTGTTGAAAATTATAATTATTCAGGTGCATCAAAAGTTTATCTTAATTGCTTTTGGTCTTGAGCTCTTGTATGTTCTTTGAAGCTTATGTAACACACTCTATATTTTTTCACTGATTAACTTTAATAGATCTTTCTTAAAGTTAACAATTTTTTCCAATGTCGATAATTGTTACAGGTTTATACTTGTGTTTGGTAGCATTACATTTTTGAAAAGTACTAAAAATATGTAGTTTTTATGGTTGATTTGATTTCTGGATGAAACAGTAAAGAATTCTTTACTTGCACCCAGGTAACAGTTCTGATCTGCGACTGGTTCGCACATACATTGAAATGGCTCTACCTGGGCACAGAATAGAATTTGTGATGTCTGAACGCAACCAGGTAAGTAAGCAAATAACATTTACAATATAGATATTGATATTTTCTTGAACTTTGACAGTTTGGATTAGGAAAACTTTTATTAAATGAAATCTCTTATGAGAAACTAAATGAATAATATTGATTCATATCACTTTATGGAGTTGGAAAATATATTGATTTCTGTCATCAACAGATTTATAATAAATTGTGAACAGATAAATTCAAGTAAGATATTATTCTCTGTTCCTTGTATTTTTCCAAGGTCAAAAGAAGAATGTTAATACAAAAATGTTCTTACTTCTATATGGTATGAGTATTTGTTTAAAATCCAATGAGTCTATTTAACTTTGAAATGTATCACACATTGTTTCATCTATTGTGCAAGCTGTGATTTTGAAGTTTTTAAGGTTCTTTGTTATTTATGTTTTAAAGAAAATAAAAAAGCAATCTGTTATGCTGAATGTGTGGAAAAGGACATTAATGATGGACTTTTATCTTTGATTTTAATTATTGTTGGTATGCAAATGGTTTTAGTGCAAAGCAAATTTAAGTCAGTAGCTTGTTTATTAAAAATAAACAATGTAGACGTTATTTTGAATACAAATTTTAAAATTGGAAGTACACACACGGCTTGATGACTGTGTTCATTTATGAAACACTGTTGCCACTCTGTTGACCTCTGTGTTCACTTTTATATTTACATATACTTTATCCCTGATATTGAACACTTTTACCCATAAATATAGCATACCTTAAAACTATATTTTAATCATATATAATATCACTCATTGCACATGAAACTCAGTCGTGCTACTAGTGAGGAAAAAAATGTATGTTCCTTATTATATAATATTTTGTAAGCTTTCTTAGAAAACTATATCTACAGAGTAGTGAGTTTGATCCTCATCTCAGAAATATAGACAGATTATATATATATATATATATATATATATATAATATATAAAGTATCACACATTGAGTGCTGGTGGTAATAAAACAGTACTTGATATATAATAACAGAGCTAAAATCGATACTAATAATAAATATACATTTTGTTCCTCACTGGTAGCACTATAGAGAATTACTTTACCTAAAAGAGTGCTCAGCTAGAAGGTCCGAAATATAAAGCATTGCATATTGAGTGATAGTGGTAATAAAAATGTGATATTGGTAAGGACAAAAATATATATATATGTAAGAAAACTTACACCAATGTTGAATATGCATAAAAGGAAAAAAATCAAAAAAATATAAGCAGTAAATTTCTGATACTCTCTGAAGAATAGACAGACATGCCTGTCTACGAAAGTCTGGATGCTGAAGGCAACATCAATCAGCTAAGTGACATACTTTACTAATTAATCCTATATATATATATATATATATATATACATACACTGTATGTTTCTTTAAACATTGATTTTTATTCTGAACTATCTTAAAAGCCATCCTATTGGGTGGCATTTAAGCTAGCTCCTGTGGAGGGCTCTTGATTGAGCCTTCAGCTTGTTCAGGAGTTTGAGAGTCTCTAAGTCTTTGCATATCCTCAGCATTGTTTAGCTCTCCTAGCTGTCATTTGATCTGAGGTTTCATTTGCATCAGACTGTGTTTTCCTTGATGCAGCCTTGGCTCTTTGATTGCAATCTGGTCTTCTGTTGGCTGAGATTTCTTTTTGTGAAGCATACTGCAGCTGTATGAGATAGGCAACAATAAAATACAAAAGAACTCAAAATTGATCGCTGTGTTTAAGTGTTGCGTTAATATTTAAGTTTACCTATTTTAAGTTCAACAATAATTCTTCTGATAACACTTTTGATGTATGTTGGTCCTTACTTTCCACACAATCAATTATTTTTATTTCATGGTTATAAAAATTGTTATCATACAAAAAAAAAATTGCCAAAAACAATCACAGTAATGAAAACTTGGGAATCAAAAATTTCAGGATTGCAGGTCCGGATGGAATGTTTTTAATTTGCTTGTGGAGTCGGCCTTATTCCAAAATCGTATATGTTTGGCTATGGCTTTTAGGAGTAAAGCTGAAAAAGTGTGACACTGACACTTGCATTTATTTATAAAGATGATTGTTGCCCACTACTTCATCATCTCCCTAGATATTTATTTTTCACTGTAATATTGAAAAGAAACTGAACTTGTCTGATTACTGCTCTCAAGGATAGTTTGATAGCACTTTTTAGTCAACTTTTAAGAATGACTTTTTTTTTTTTTAGGATATTTATTTCTTGCCTTCATATTTGAACTTTGCATTGATGATTACCCCCTTCAGTGACACAGAACTCTGTTAAATGTTTACATCCCCCCCCACCTTTAAATATTTAAATTCATCACCTGTCCCTGTTAAATGTTTCCTCTCAGACAATAAACAATAATCTCATCTCCATTATTAACATCTGCAAAATAAATGTTTTTTTTTCTTTTATAATTCCAGACTGATACTTTCGCTGATTTTGAACTGATGACTACACGATTAGTAAATGAAATCCTTTGCTACATTCATATGTATGACTTGAAACCGCCATCTCGAATCAGGTAAGTCATCATCTCCTTTGACTTGATGAAATCACATTGAGAACAAAATAAATTTGAATAATGACTCTGGAGATCATCTCTTATGACTGTCCAACTGTGTAATATGTACACTGTATGAGATTTTCTGCTTTTCATTTTTAGTTTAACAAAATATTGGCCACTTTTATGTCAAGATTACTATTGTTTTCTACTGGAAAAGTACTACATCTAAATTCAGAAGCTATTTGTTCTAGTTTTGAGGTCAGCTATTCCATTTCTCAGCCTATCGTTAGCTATTACAATCTGAAATTTAATCCTCTGCACAAAGATTCAGTTATTTGATGATATAATCAAACTCTGAGAATTTATATTTAGTCATAAATTATTTAAAAGAAAATAGCATTGTACATTTTGGAAATTGGCCAAGCCAGTCTCTTGACTTTGATTATTAAAAAAAAATGTTGGAATTTGCTAAAGAGGAAAGTAAAATAAATGTCGAGACTATTGATCAGCTTTGAAGAGCGAGTGGAGAAAATTTTTATGATTCTTTTATTTTGAATTTATATTCCTCACTGCCAAAAAAATTGGGTTGTTTTAAGTAATAAAGAAGCTAGTACATAGTACTGTACTAGGTGATTTTTAATGTTGTGTGTTTTCATTTTTTTAAAACTTGTTTAATTTGAATTTTTTTTTTTTAATTATAAAGGATCTAAAACATTTGTTTGCTACGTTTGTAGTTCTTAGTAAAAATGACTATTTCTTATTCTATATTCAAAGTAAATTTTAAAAGTTTAATTTTATGTTCTTTGATTTGTTTATTTAAATTTTTATGAAATTTCAAATCGCAATTTTAACTTGCATAATTTTTAATGTACTTGACACTGCCTAGAACATTTGCTTGAGTGTGTGATATATAATATAGAATTTGCTAGAAATGAATGCTTTAAAAATATGTGAATGAGTTAAGGCTTGAGTTGATGGCATAAGTTGACCTGCTTCTTTATTAATAGCTGAACTGAGCAAAATATTGTAGAGATTGTGGTACTTGTTAGATTGAAGTCTTGCATGGAGATTATTTCTTGTTCTGTTTTCCATGATAGCCTATTCATATTAAAAGTGAAAATTAATGATTGTCAATATTTGATGTTTTAATTTCTCTTTCAGTTTCATTGGCCACTCATTGGGAAACATCATCATTCGCTCAGCTTTGGCTCGTCCAGAAATTTCTCATCTTCTTCCAATGATGCACACATTCCTTTCTCTGTCAGGACCTCACCTGGGCACTCTCTATAACAGTAGTGGACTTGTCAACATGGGTAATTGACTTCACTACTTTGAAGTATTCACTCATTCACACAAAACTAAAGGAATGCCTCTGAACATTAATTCAGACGTATTTTCCAGAGTTCTTTTAATTTTACATATTTATGTGGTATTTTTGCTTTGTGCTATTTGGATATAATTTTTGTAATGCCCACAAAGTTAATTTTCATTTTTTGAAATTAGATTCTCTAATTGTTATATAGATTTATTTCAACTAATTTCCTCATCTTATGTTTGTCATAACATTTTAGCCACTGTAATCTCTTTCTTTCATTAGGTGTTTTTTGATCCTTATTCTGAAGACTTTAGTCCCTTTTCCCAGTATGTTACAACTGCCTATAAACTTTTGGAATTGGAGTTTAGATAAAAAAAGAATTTATATATAAAATTCTGTGACTTCTGTTAGTCTGCTTGTCACATCCTCTAAAATAGCCATACATTGACTGATTGAAACCAAATTTTGGGGAGAAGTGCAAGCAAGTGGCTACAAAGTACAGTTGGTTTTACTAGGGTGCATAACTTAGTACAATAAATTTTCATTAATTTGTTTTTGAAAAATTAAGTTTTATTATTTAACATACAAAATACTCCCACTATTTTAAAAACAATTTAATGATTAAAATAACAAATAATTATTTAATAAAAATGCAATATTGTTTTTTTTTGTTTTTATCTTTAACTTTTTATATACAAGAATCCAGTTTCCAGTCCAGTCTGCATTTCCGAGAAATATAAACAAATCACAAAGCCTAATGCTTTGAAAAGTTGGAATTTAACTCCAGAAATAAATATTTATGCATGGCTAGTTGTATGTTGCATGCTCAAGAGCAAGAAATCCTAAGAATTTATTCTTTGCAATTAAAAAGGAAAAAAAAAAATTTTTCTTAAAAAAAATATTGTTTGCTCTGAAGTCTTATAAAATAAAAGAAATTATTAAACCCCGATGTAGACTTTTTTGTAAAAGTATTTTTCCAAACAAATCCCTGTATTCAAATTTCATTTATTGTTTGCAAAATTGAATGAAACCTAGAATTTTAAAATTTTGATAAGATGGTAGCAATAACTTCAACAATACTAAATACTGCGGGGAGTTCAATATGCATCAGCGTGTTGCCAAAAAATTTTAGTATTTTAAATACAATAGGTACTGAAACATACATAGGCTGAAATGTAGTGGTGGATGAAAATCTTTCCAAATGAATCAAAATATGATGATTGCAAGAATAAATATGGCTTTCCTTATACATTTCTTTTCTACCATTCTGTTTTAAAATTGTCTTATGGACAAAATTTTTTGTAATTTTTCTGATGTTTCTCTAATACCATACAGATATACTGTATAGATTTTTGTATCTTGAAATAGTTTGATGTGGCAGATTTTTTTCTTTTTATTCATAGTTAACAAAACCTCTTTGTATTCAGCTTTATATCTGTCACAGGATTGTCACATTGTTTTTCCAATCTTTTATCAAATAACTTGCAAATATCTGAAATACTGTCTTTTTTTATTTTTCTTGTTTCAGGAATGTGGGTCATTCAGAAATGGAAGAAATCTGGTTCTCTTCTTCAGCTTTCCATGAAAGACCACACAGACCCAAGGCAGTGTTTCCTCTACAAACTCAGTCAAAAATCTGGTTGGTCTTTTTCTTGGCCATTTTCAAATCTTGGTTATGTCATTTGATATAATTTTATTAATGAAGGACAAAATCCCAAAAAACAGAATGGTGTTAGGGCAGAATGGATAATATAACAGCGGATTGGAAGGAGTGTATTTTGATTTATTTGTTCTATTACAGTTTTCAAATGTTTTGTCCGAGATTCAATGATTTTCAACATAAGAATTTTGAGTGATTCTGCTGAGATCAAGTTACATTGAGATTTTAATATCTTAGCAGAAAGAGTCACTGATTAAAAACACAGGTCACTCAGGATAAAGTTTGATTCAATTAAAGACAGTGTTTAAATCTATAGTGATGTTCACCTTGTACAAGGCCCAAGATCCAATCATGGTAGAAGATCACAGAGTAAGAGGCACAATTTATGGGAATATGTAGGGAAGATAACGGTTGACCCTAGACTTGATCTTAACTTGTTCAAGTTAAGATTGTAGTGATTGGAGACGTATCCTCTTGGCAATCTGTTCCACAAAGCAGCTGTTTATGGGAAGAAGCTGCTCAGCTGGAACTTGCATCTCACCAATGGAATATGAAGGGAATGAGAGTTGTTCATTATAATGTGTGTGTGGTAGGGGGGAATCTTAATCATGAAGCTTAGAATTGGTGAAACTAAGAAATGTGCACTTCCCATCAAAATAATGATTAAGCAGTGAGAGGTCTGCAATGAAAATAATTTGTCACCCACAAGGAGACATTATGTTCAAGAACAACTTTATTTACATACATGTGCATAGACATAGGAGGTCCTGAAAAGTTCTATACCTGACCCAGAAAAATGATATTAGCCATATTTTAGGAAGTGGGTTGAAACAAGAACATTTCAGCACACGTATAATTATATATATATATATATATATATATATATATATATATATATATATATATATATATATATATATATAATCAGAGCAATAGTGTGTAATTTGAATTCCATTTTTGTCATTCAATTACCTATGTGTATATTTATTCAGACATGTGCAAATTTTTTTTATTACTTGTGGTTACAGGGAATATATTGAGGGCTGTAACATGTCCAATACATACTCAATGGGGTTTAAATCTGGCAACTGCAGGGGTCAATAGAGTATCTGAAATTCGGCTGGGTGTTCCTGGAATCAGTTTTTCATCATTTGTGCATGATGAGAGCCTGCATTATCTTGCTAAAACATTGTGAGGAGAAAGGGATGTTATAGTATGCAACAAGATCTGTGTATATCAGTCACACTAATCTATACTGAATCCATTTTCACTAATGGGTCTTGTGAACATCAACAGAATATAAACCATACCTAATAAAAGACCATAATAAACTTGGACAATAATTTGCTGACAAGGCTGGATGCATAGCCAAACATAATCTCCTTCACACACAAACTTGACTGTTTACCTGAAAGAGCTGGCATCACATCCATCAATATGGCATCCATCATAATGATGGATGATGAGGTTCTCTGCCCTAGGTGAGGTGTGCATAAACCAATGCCATAGTATTGATAATAATAGCTTTGTTGGTTAATGACTATGAAACTCAGTACAGTGAATGATGTACAGTGCATTGGCTAATGGGTTGAACTGTACAAGTATTGAATTAGGGGTGGGATTTGATGCAATGCTCCGCTTCATTGAGTGATTGTCATCCTTGTTGGTTGCCAGCAGTTTCATCCTTACATCACCTGTGGACATTTGTATTTTATCTGTGTTGCTGATGTCTAGTTAGGACTCACATAATCCTAGCATACCCTTGCTACCATTGTCTGAGAAAAACTAAGAGTAGTTTCAACCTTTCAAATACTGTACCCAGTCTTTATGGCTCCAACAATCATTTTGAAATCAAATGGTATTAAATCCTGTTCAACATATGTGATCTGACTGAATTCATTTCTGCAAGTGATAGTCTAAATACCATTTAGATACAACTGTCTCAAATTTTTTGCCACTTCTATTTATCTGAGAATTATAAACCTTCCATACATATTTACTAGTTTTTTGTAAGTTGATTTATCTTCAGTTTAAAACTGCTGACATTGGATGACAGTCAAAAAATAAACATGAAAATGAGAATGTATATAAAAAATAATTAGGTTCAGTCAGAATTTTATAAAATATTGTTTTTATTGAAATAAAAATAACTGTGCCATGAAAATGAAAATCACATGACATAAGTATCTTTTGACATATGAATGTCTAAATATAAAAAAAAGGGTTAATATCACTATAATGTAATTTATTCCAATGTTTACTTTGTATGTTGTAAAATTCTTAAAATGTTAGGTTGCTTTTGTTTTTCAGAACCTTTAGAATCTTTCAAGAATATTCTACTTGTTGGCTCCTCTCAGGACCGTTATGTTCCCTTCCATTCATCAAGAATAGAAATTTGTAAAGCAGCTCAAAGAGACACATCACCTCTTGGTAAGTTTATTACTCTTGTTGAATAAATGACAATCTCAGACAAGAGAACAATTCACTTAAAAAGTGATTCATAAATAAATCAGATAAAATCTATTATTTCCCCCTTTATATGTAAGTGAAATTTAATTAAATTGAATTGTAAATAATGAACTATGATATATAAGAGTGAGATTTTTTTTTTTTACCTTGTCTTTAGATATGAAGAATAAATTCTTTACTTTTAAATTTTTCTGATCTTAACTGTTACATTTCTTTTATTCTCTGTAAAGCACAGAAAAATTCTCTATATAAATTTTCTAGGAGTGGGTTGTATATAGTCTTGATCTTACTTATAAAACGCAGATTGTGTGTGTGCGTGTCTGTACGTTTATATATTGGATCGGATTTCCTACATTTTTCAACCGATTTCAACAAAACTTCACAGGACTGCGTAAAATTACCTTGCAGTGGTTCTGACAGCACCAAAAATTGGAAAAACACAATTGTTTTTGCACAAAATCAATTTGAAAACACGATAAAAACACGATTCTGTCGCCAGAATGAAAGGGTGACAACTCATATCGAGTTATACTTATTATAAAACCCAGGTTTTTTGTGTGTGTCTGTGTTCGTTTATGGGATCAACAAAACCACTTTTTTTTTTTTTTTTGGCAAGTAGTGTTTCTTATTGTCTTGCACACTTTTTTATTTTTACATTCAGAATGCTTTAAAAATTCCATTTACAAGACAATTGTTTATAATAAAATTCTATTCAATCGATAGACTCATAACGATTGAAAACAATGTTTTTGTTTGAGTTTGGGTTTGACCAATTCAGAAAAAAAAAAAAAATGAAAAAAAAAAATAAAGACATGCGTGTCCGTCAACCTTAAACAATAATCTTTGTCAATTTTATTTTTCAGTCTTTATGATGGTCGATACTTGATCTATCTCTTACTGCTACATCCCTGGGCAACGCCGGGCTCTACTGCTAGTCATTGACTAAGTTTATCTAATAGAGATCTTAAAAGCCAAAGCACCTCTGAGGAGTGAACTCGCAAAATAAGTGAATAATCTTGTTTGATTAACTTGTTACCAGGCATCTGTATTATAACATTCTATAACTAGATTTTAATCTGATCTCTGAAGCAAACCATTTGCTATTTAATCTTATAAATATATAATGATTGCAAATAGATTAACCTAGAAAATCTAGAGGATCTATTATCTTTGTATTAGCAGTAATCTTTATGGCAAAAACATTTAACATTTTCTGTTTTCTCTCTAAAATGTTTTTTTTTGTGGGGGTGGGGTTCAGTTCAGTTCAGTGTGTAAAATTTTATTTGTTCTTTGTGAAACCTTGAAGGATGAATATAAAAAAGATCTCCTTTTTCAATTACACTGCTCTCTCTCTCTCTTTTCAAATTGTGCTCTCTCTCTCTCTAAATTGCTTTTCTCTCATACTGAAGATTGATTGAAGAGGTTGAAGCTGTATAGGGGACAAGAGTACTCAGGATTTTGCTCTATAAAGAAGGGTAGCTAGTATAAAGTTCTGTTGGAACCAATCAGATTAAAGAAGACTATATTGGTATATTGTCAGAAAAAACAAAAATAATAGTCATAAAGTTGCTAATAAGCTTCATTTTTCTTCTTTTTTTTTTTTTAAATTTTCTATTTTCTTGCAGTATTCTGATTTATTCTCTGTTTCTGCAGGTGCTGTTTACATAGAAATGGTGATGAACATTTTGAAGCCAATTGTGAGCAGTAGTACAACCAAGCTAATCCGCTATGATGTGTTCCACGCATTACCTAACACAGCAAACACAATCATTGGCAGAGCGGCTCACATTGCCGTTCTGGATTCTGAACTGTTTATTGAAAAATTTCTTCTTGTTGTTGGCCTAAAATTCTTCAAATGATGCCCTGGGAACATAAGAAAATTCTACAACACAAGCACTACATTCTTATTTTTTACTGTAATTTTTTTTATAATGACCAATTTGGTTACACCGACCTTCTTATGGTATTCCCAGAACCTAGGAGACATGTTTATTTCACATAGTCGACAAGGATCATTCTTTTCTGTCTTCCGAAAAGAAAAATGTCTTCTGCTGAATGCCAAATCAAAGGGAGCTTCCCTTTCCCAAAACAGAAGATGCTCATCCTTCATTATTTCAGTGGACAAGAAAAAAATGATACAAAAGAAAAATTCCCCCAAAAGACAACTGCTGGCACTGGTTCCTCTTCCCACTTTTTTTTCCCCCTTCATCTTCAAACTCTTCTTCCTTAAACACTCTCAGTGCTACTGTTGGTACCAGTTCCTCTCAATCACAGACATGGAACTATTTCATGTCTGTTTGTTGTTGTTGTAAAAGAATTTTGATTTCATGATTTATACAAAAAAAGAATCTCTGCTGAGAGGACAACTAAGGGTGGGGGCGGAAGTTTTAAGAAATTGAGTCTTTTCATAACAGCAGAAAATGTAAGCTATTTTTTCTTCTACACCATTGGAATTTTTACTGACATTGATATTTTTTTTATTTTGACAAAAAAAATCTGAAAAGATTTTCTTCCAAATATACTGTCTTTGTGACATTGAAAAAAATTTTTTGTTTCTATATCAATTTATTATTTTTTTCTTACATTTTCTTTTGTTCTAAGACATTTGTTTAAAAAAAAAAAATCAAAGCCAGCCTTATTTCTCATGTATATTCATTGACAGAAATTCTTTGAAAGTTTTGTATATTTTTTATTTTTTCATACAAGTATTTTTACTTTGTATATCCATGTGTGAGAGAGAAAAAGAAATTGATTAGTTATTAATCATCAATTGAATTTCTCTCCAGCTGTTAAAGTTTCCTTGATCAATCTTCTGGCGGATTTTTTTTTTTCTTTATGATGGAAATGGTAACAATTAGTCAAGATTAGTTGAGGTTGTTCTTATCATTTGGGTATTGGATGGGAATTTATGCAGGAATAAATGGTTAATGTGATTTGATTGAAACTAAAATAATAATGGCACTGAAATCTTTAAAAGTAATTTATTTAACAAACCTTTCATTTAGCTCCCCCTGTTCCTTTCCAAAAAAGTGGGTACCAGATATTTTATTTTTATCAGTGACTTAGTTACTATAAAAATAACATAGTCTGATTAGTCTAAATAATGTTTTTTTTGAAAAATTTGCTCAAAGGATGTTTCTAGATTGAGACATGTGATATCAATGATAATTACTTTGTTGAAAGTATTTGGACTCTGTTCTGAGCAATACTGTTTGGCCTCATCAGTGATTATTTAACAGATTTGTCAAGTTTACAATAACTTGTTGAAGTGAAAGATTTTGTTGATAGTTTAGGTTCACACAACCTTGATAAAAATGAATTCTTTATTGATTTTGACAATTTGTATTTTATAATGCCCTGGATATAAGAATTAGCTTTAAAAATGTAGGATTAAAATGTTGTATGAATTTATTTTCTAATACTTAAAAAGCATAAATCTCTGACAGGTTATTAGCAACTCTTTTTTTATTGTTTGATTACAAAAGTTTAATCATATTTGCATTTTAGAAAATCAGTGATAGTTTTTTTGTAAACCTAGTTATTGATTTCAAACATGTTAATCATTCAAAATATTTTAAGAATAGTAATGGAGATAAGATGTTCAAAGCAGGTAGAATAGTTTCTTCTGTTAAAAGACATCATTGTTTGTTTTGCCATTCATATCTGTACTTGCAATGATATTTGGGATTGTGCCTGTATGTATGTGTGGGAGGGTAAAGTTTTCCTAATGCACTAAAAACACCACATTCACTCTTAACATTAAAATATTTGCCTTTTTCTTTAAAAGAATTCATAAATGAATCTATAATTAAACAAAAATTGAATAACTTTTTTTTATTTTAATGAGAAACATATATAATATAGGTATATTTCAACAATAAAAATTTAGGATTGTTAGATTTTCAAAATATATGACTGAGAAATTTGAATATTGCTGAATTCTCTTAATTCCCAAGTTAAATACTAAGGTCGTTACCATTATCAGGACTGGCTTTATTTGAGTAACAATATAATACAATTATTACCATGCCATTAAAAGTCATCTAGAAAACAATTGCTTATTTATAAGGATCACAAAAACTAGATTGGAAATAAATTGTTTTTAAAATGTGAATTATTTTAAGTTGAATATGTAAATTAGCTATTTCCATTAAGCAAGAAACACTAAGTTGGGAAAGATATAAGACACATGCTAGTACATATAAATGAAAAAACTACTTATCTGATGTCAGTTTTACATATTTGCATACACACAACTAATTTTATATATTTAATTTTCAAGGTTTTGAGCACATGCATGCACAAAAACTTTGAGCTATTGTAACCTCGATGTAGAATATATGCTATTACTCAATATTGCTTATCTCTATATAGTGTAGCTGCAGGATTTTGTATAAATTGATTTAAAAGAACTAGTTGGAATTTAAGAAATTTGAAAAAAAAAAAAAAAATTTTTGATAAGGATAAATAAAATTAATGTTACATTGGATCGCCTAATCTTTGAAATTTCTAGGGCACATAAAGAGGGCTTGGAGAATTTGACTCAGGACATATTGAAGGCAATGAGGACATAGGTAGGTTATGCAGTTTTCCTAATAAGCTTGTGTATATGGATGGCAGAACAGGGTTTAAGAGAGATAGCAAAAAAGCTAAGATTTACTAAGAGCTACAATGGACAGGAAATTGTGGAGAGCCATGATTCCCAACATTCTGAATGGAAATGGCACATGGAAGAAGAATGTTGAGCAGCTATTTGTGATGTAGTGAGTTTATCTTGCCACCAATTGCCTGTGATTTTTTTAATTGCTTCTTTGTGTCAAAATTCTCTGAATCCAAGCAAACTTGATGCATGTTTATTATTAAAGAGTTGGACACAGTTTCAATTTTTTTTTGTCTTCCTGTGAAACTGAAGTATCAGAGAAAGAAGTATGTGTGCATTAACTGTAAACATTATCCCTGATAAATTGAGACTAGTTTGCATTGATTCCTTGAGCTATTTCTGTATTGAAATCTTGGTTCCTCTTGTGATTTTGAAAGAGTTCAGACTTGGTAGCTTTATTTTCCACTGGAAATTCTTATTGTACAACTGGTTCAAATTTATATAAATCCTTTTTAACTACATTGGTGATTTGATAATATACATTGCTATATCCAATTTGAATTGGTGAGCAGTTTTTATTGCAATATAAAATTTGTTTTGAGCTTGGAATGAATGTCTGTCATAGCTTTTTTCTGAGAGAAAGAAAGGGCATTGACTCCTTTAATGAAGAGCAGAAAATGCATTTAATCAATTTTAAATTGAATCAATTTGTGATAAATATCCTTGGGTAATATGATACGTTAAAACTCGACTTAGTTCCATTGCACCTGATATTAGTAATTGGGTCTCAGAAAAGAGTAATGCTGAAACTTTAGACTTTGATTTAGCCTCTGGTTATTTGTTAGATTAAGTCAGTTTTGGCATAAGGCCACATTTTTTGAACACTTTGTTATAACTGAGTTCATTGTCAACGACTTGTGAAGTCACTGTCCTAACTGCTCTGTTACGATGAATAGTCTTTAACCTCAGCTATGAGTTCAATGAAAAGAAATCAGTTACATTTAGCAAAATGTAAGGCTTACAAATATTTGGCGGGATTTAGTAAACATTTTTTTTGTTTTTGCTTTGTCAAAATTTATTCAAAACAACAACAGAATGAAAAAAAAAAAATGATTCCAAGTTTTTAATTTTTTTTTTTTTTCCGAAGGATAATTTAAAAAAAAATGAATCTTTTCAGTATTCACATTCAATCCCATTTTTCATTCCTTGAAAACAAATTATTGATCATTAGTGTGTTGACTTATTGGCAGTTTCCTTCATCTGATATAATACAATATTTTTATTTTTTTTGATTTGATTATAAGGTAAAATGTTGTCCTTTTATTACAAAAAAAAAAAAAAAATATAAATAAATGCTGAAACTAAATTAAATTTGAATTCTTAACCTTTGCACAAAAATTATGAAAAAAAAATATTTATGCTAGCAGAAATACATTCCTTGCTAGGTGCAAATTTTTAATATAAAAATGAATAAAATTAATCTGAAGAAAAATTATTGAAAAAAAAAAATTCCTATTGAGCCTTGATTATTTAATTTTAATATAAGACTTGGATGAATAGTAAGGTAAGGGCAGAATAATAATTTTCGTTCCAGTTTGTTACTATAAAATATTAAGCATTATATATATATATATATATAATATATATATATATATATATATATATATATATATATATATATATTAAAGAAAAGGTGACTGCAATCTTGTGTGAAAGTTTCTGAAATTTAATGAAAAATAATACATTAGACCACTTCTTTTTAAGTATTCAAAGGCGTAATGATTAATTTCTATGGTATTCTAACTTTAGCAGTGAGGAAAAAAAATAAACATTGATAAAATTTTGAGTTTTTCTTAAAAAAACTATTATGAATTTAATTTTGAGAATAACTTTCACTGATATTTTTTGTTTATCTTTTTAAGAATTTGGATAGCTATATTTTTCCACACTGAGGAGTAAGTATGAAAATGCAAAATTTTAGTTAGGGAAGGAGAAACCAAATGCAATATTACATTTACAATAACACTGTTTAATTTTCCTTAGTCTTCTATATTTTTTTTTTTTTTAACAATTTCTTCCTAGTCTATCAAGATAATTTTTCTGTATAAATTAAGATAGGTAGCGGTTAAAAAAAAAAAAATGTAAATGTTTCTATTTGAAAAAGGGAAAAACAGATTAGAAGAAAAAAAAACAAAAAAACTGAAGGTGTTGGATGCTACCGTGTATAAGATATTGTGAAAGCATAAAGATTTGCTTTTG